TGTGGTCTTTTGTAAAAATTGGAACATGCAAATACTTTTTTGTTTTTAATATATATTTTTAGATATTTTTCATTTTTTAGGTACACATAAAGTGAATCTTTAGATTTCTAAGTGTCTGTAGCTCCAAATCTTTAAATCTTCAAATCTCTAGATTTTCAAGTATCTAAATTTTTAAATTATCAAATTTCTAAATTATCAATTTTGCAAATTATCAATTTTTTAAATCGTCAATTTTCTAAATGATCAATTTTTCAAATTATCAATTTTTTAAATCGTCAATTTTCTAAATGATCAAATTTTCAAATTAACATATTTCCAAGCTATGATATTTCCAAATTATCAATTTTTTAATTTATCAAATTCCTGTCTCTAATTCTTTTCAATTCTTTTCAATTCTTTTCAATTCTTTTCAATTCTTTTCAATTCTTTTCAATTCCTTTCAATTCTTTTCAATTCTTTACAATTCTTTTCAATTCTTTTCAATTCTCTTCAATTACTGCAATTTTTGTAATCAACTTTACAAATCCACAAAATTACAAAATTTTAAAAATTGAACCTTTTAAAGCTCCATTCCATTCTTGCTCACCCCATCTCACACCAGCACCCAAGAAATCATCTTCACTCACTTCATTTCTACATTACTGATCTACAAGAGTATCTACAAGAGTATATGTATGCTAGAATGTGATTAAATAACAGCATACGTCGATAATAATTTCAGACGAGAAAACAAGCATACTGCAACAGAGTGCACTCTAAATCTACTTGAATAGATTTCTATGCCAGATTAATTGTTATTGAAAGTAACCAGATGTTAAAAGTGCACTTAAATATTTATTACGAAGTAATAATTCAGATTAGTTGCAGATTTAGACTTTGAAGTAGAATATAAACATGGTAATAAGTAATGGTGAGTTCGAAATGGATGAGGAGGAAGTTATTGAGATAGAATGTTGCAATGAATGCATTTTGTAATTTCATGAATAATAAAATTCAATGATCTTGTTATTTTATTAATCATTATTATACTTTATTATTCTATTAATTATCTTATATTATATCTTTTTATTTTATTAATTTTTTTATATTATATCTTTTTATCTTATTAATTATCTCATATTATATCTTTTTGTCTTATTAATTATTGACATTTACTTATTTCAATTTGAGTAATCAAATGAATTATAAAGAGTTAATATAATTAATTAAATGACAGAAAATTAGTCATTATAAAACCCTAACCAAAGTTCAAATTTCAAAAGTTGAAAGCAGCAACTTGTGCAATAAAAAAATTTATCTTTCCTTAATATCCAATAATAATTTTCCAAAACTGAAAAGTTAATATTATTTTCCAATACCAATTAAAATCTATCAATATTAATTAATATTAGTATTAAATTCATACCAAAACTTGATACTAATTAGCACTAATATTAAATCAAATAATACACAAAGAAATAATAATAATCAATCCTAATATCAAGTTAAGTAATATCAAAAAATAGCAATAATTAATTTTATTATTAAAAAGTAATATTATCTTAATGAACCAATATCAAAAAAACAGTGAGTGTTTAAATTTCATTAGAATTTCAACAATAAATTGATTTCCCAATGAAAATGAATGGCAAAGTTTCACAAAAGAGTAATTTCAAGTTTGTTTTTCTACCATTTTGTAACGGTTTAATAAGTGTTGCGTAACGTCAACATTTCAATTGGCGTTGAAACATGTTTTGATATTCGGAACACATTTCCTCCGGCTCTTTCAGGAACCGTCTAGAAACGACATCTGGATGTTTCAGAGCTTTTCGGAAAGGAAATGATCTGTGGGCGGGAATTGTTGCCAAAACAAAGCTTTTCTTGGCTCGGCGGGTTAACGAAATTTTCAGGGAAACGCTGACCTTTCGAGATTTCTACGATCGGAAAACAATGAGTGTACGTTTTTATGATACTTCCGATTATTTCAATTCCGGTAACTGTACATTCGTGTTGTATGTAATCTTCGTCATTTCTTAATGTTCAAGTTTTCATATTTTTTAATATTCGAGTTTCTGAATTTTTAAGCTTGGAAGTTATATTTTTGAAATATTTTATTTTTTCAATTTTTCAATTCTTTTCAATTCTTTTCAATTCTTTTCAATTCTTTTCAATTATTTCAATTCTGGTCAATTCTGGTCAATTCTTTTCAATTCTTTTCAATTCTTTTCAATTCTTTTCAATTCTTTTCAATTCTTTTCAATTTTTTCAATTCCTTTCAATTCCATTCAATTCTTTGCCATTCCTTGCAATTCTTTTCAATTCTATGCGATTCTCTGCAGTTCTCTGTAATTCTGTGCAATTCTTTGCAACTCTTTGCAGCTCTTTGCAATTCTTTACCATTCTTTTCAGTTATTGCATTTTGTGCAATCATTTCGATTATTTTAATTATATCAATTTTTCAATTATCTCGATCTTTGCAACATTGTAGATTTATAACAATGTGATTTTGTAATATTGTAAATTTGCAATATTATAAATTTACAACATTGTGGATTTGTAAGATTCTAAATTTGCAACATTTTAATTTATGATATTGTGATCTTGTAACATTATGGATTTGCAACATTGTGAATTTATAACCTTACAAATTTGCAACATTGCCAATTTGTACTATTGTGAAATAGTAACGTTGCAAATTTATAATATTGTGAATTAGTGACATTGTAAATTAGTAACGTTGTAAATTTGCAACATCGTGAATTAGTAACATTGTTGACTGGCAACCCTGTAAATTTGCAAAATTGTGAATTTCTAGTATTGTGAATTAGTAACATTGCAAGTTTATAATATTGTGAATTAGTGACATTGTGAATTAATAATATTATAACTTTATAATATTATAAATCTCTAAATCCTTAAATAACGATTCAACTGCAAATGACATAATTTTCTATTCGGTCTAATGTTCAACATATGAATTCTCAGAACATTCTCCCGCGATCATTCTCTATTTATAAGAGAATATATATCATACACCCGTGCACGCTATCCAAACCATCATTTTTATGTTTCCAAATATCTCCCCCACGCTCCAAAAAGCGCCGCGAATATTGCTTACATAATTCTTATTTCCTGCGCGAACGTATTTCAATCAAAAACGTGTACACAATACCGGAAACTCGCACACCCATAAAAAGCAGAACATTCCTACCATAAATCATTTCCGAATTCCGTTCGAACGTTTTTCGCTATACAAAAATTATCGAAACTCACCATCTGTAGTATCAATTCGTGAAAAGTGTCAATTCAGCATTCATTTTGTCGAAACTATTTTAAAACGTTTCACTGTTCCTTTATTACCGAGAGTTTATTTTCTCTTCGGTTTTAAGATCGCGTTAACGCGACGTGTTCGATGAACGGCTACCGGCTCGGAGGAACTAGGGATTTTTCGTTTGATATCGATCAGCACGAGTTAACCAATGAAGTTGGAGAAGTCGCGTTCGAGAGATGGAACTGCTGGAACCTCGACAGATGCCGGTCGAACGGAAAATTTGGCCAAGTTTCGAAAATAGTTTGCTGCGGATTCGACGCACGAACCTAGTGAATACCGGCGTCTATTTCTGGCGGGAAGAAGACACTGATACGCGGCAGGTTTACCACGGTTGATCGAGAGAATTCCCTAGGCTATTTCGCATGTCGAACTTTCTTTTCTTTGGAGTAGTTGGACGAAATTTGATACTAATGTAATATAGGAATTATGTAGTTTAATTTTAGTATGTAATAGTATGTAAATTAATTGTTATTGTAGAATGGATAATAAGTTTACTGTTACTATTTAATAGTAAGCAAGTTTAGCGATTTTAGAATTATACAATTCACGACTTTCTGAGTTTTCACACTTCTGAATTTCTGAAAATTTAAATTGGTATATCGTTCAATTTTTCAATATTTCAATTTCTCAATTTCTCAATTTTTCAATTTTTCAATTTTTCAATTTTCAATGTTCAATTTTTCAATTTTTCAATTCTCCCATTTTTCAATTTTTCAATTCTCCCATTTTTCAATTTATCAATTCTGCAGTTCTTCGATTCCTTGGTTTTTCAATTACTCTTCAATTTTTTAATTTTCAGTTTTCAATTTTCAATTTCCAACTTATCAGTTTTTCAATTTCTCAACTTTTCACTATTTTCATTTTCCAATTGTTTAATTGTTCAATTACTCGTTGTACTATTGTACAATTTCTTAATTATTCAACTGTTCAACAGTTCAATTGTTCAATAGTTCAATTGTTCAATTGTTCAATTGTTCAATTGTTCAATAGTTCAATTGTTCAATTTCTTAATTATTCAACTGTTCAACAGTTCAATTGTTCAGTTTCTCAATAGTTCAATTGTTCAACAGTACAAGTGTCAATTCAATAGTTCAACAAATCAATTCTTCAATTATTCTGCTGTTCAACAGTTCAGTTGTCCATCAGTTCAATTCTTCAATTATTTAACAGTTCAACAGTTCAATTGTCCATCAGTTCAATTCTTCAATTATTTAACAGTTCAATTCTTCAATTGTTCTGCTGTTCAACAGTTCAGTTGTTCATCAGTTCAATTGTTCAACATTGTTCTGCTGTTGAACAGTTCAGTTGTTCATCAGTTCAATTGTTCATTTATTTAACAGTTCAATTGTTCAACATTGTTCAAGTGTTCAACATTGTTCAAATGTTCAACATTGTTCAATTGTTCAACATTTTTCAATAGTTCAATTATTCTCTGTTTCATGTTGTGAATAGTTCAATTATTTAATTAAAAAAAATTGTTCAAATTCTACTTTAATACTTCCCACTTTTTCAATTTCCAATTTATCAATTTTTATTTCTTCAATTTTAAAACTTTCATTCAAATATGATCTTCAAGAAAATCAAGTACAAAAAATATTTAAAAAAATTTATTAAATTGTACCCTACTTTTAAAACAGCCGATATTTCGATAGAATTCCTGTTTGCTAAAAGATATCGTGAAACTATTTACCTTGTTCCACTTCAGCGTTGATATGAATTGTCCTCAATCTGAGCTCCTCGTTCTCGTAGATCATCCCCCTCGACGACTTCCGGTCGAGTTTCCTGTTCGGTTTCACACTGACGTCTCTGCGTCTGGCTCTCAACATTCCAGCACCCGCCATCATTTTTATCAATTTACTATGTCACCACGAACACGAAAGCACACTTCACATCTATATCATCCACTCGAATAACAATGTTCGATACGCGTGATCACATATTTGTGACATGCCACGAAATATCAATTTAAAGTCGCTTCTTCAAGTTCACTGACGTTTCACGTCGATCGATAATTTTATCGTTTATTTATTTCACAGAGAACAATTATATTGTTTTCTGTTTCAATTTATATAACATTTGTTGCTGACCAATTTAAATTCGTGTAATATTTATTATTGGTTAATTTAAATTCGTATAACATTTATTACTGAACAATTTATATTCGTATAACATTTATTACTGATTCACTTAAATTCACTGTTCTTCAAGTTCACTGACGTTTCACGTCGATCGATGATTAAAGCGCTTGTTTATTTCGAAAGCGAAATAATATTATTGTCAATTTAAGTTCGTATAACATTTATTACTGATCAATTTAAATTTGTATAACATTTATTACTGATCCACTTAAATTCACTGTTCTTCAAGTTCACTGACGTTTCACGTCGATCGATGATTAAACCATTTGTTTATTGCAAAAGTAAAATAATATTATTGTCAATTTAAATTCGTATAACATTTATTACTGATCAACTTAAATCCACTGTTCTTGATGTTCTAAAATATTTCACATAGAACAATAATAAAATTAACTAATGTTTGTTCATTGCAAAAGTAATATTTCAGAAGTAATTACTGTTTAAAGTAAGAATTGTGTATTTATAATATTTATTTTGGAGGGTTTGTAGATTAATGGGAATGAATTAATTGAGAAGAAAATTTGAAGTTTTTGTCACAGTCAGAAATTGCTTATGGAGTTGTTATTTTACATTTTACATTTTAAATTAGTTTAACATTTTTTGCATTTTTTTATGTTTCTTCAAACTGCTTCAAAATTGTTTAAACTTCAAATTTGTCAGATTTCTCTAAATTCAAATTTTGTTGAATTTCTAAGTCTTTGAATTTTCATAAATTTTGTTCAATCTCTGCAAAGTTAATTTGTTCTTCAAACTTATGATAATTTTACAAATTTTCTTTCAAATTACTTTTTTAAAATTCTTTAAATTCCTTTCAATATTCTTTCAAATTACTTTTTAAAAATTTTTTAAATTTCTTTCAATTTTGATTTTCTTTGAACTTTTTCAGTTTTGTTCAAATTTTGATAAATTTCTTTAAACTTCATTAACTTTATTTAAGTATCAATAAATACTTTCAAAATTCTTCATTTTATTTAAATTTTGATGAACTTAATTAACTGTACATAAATTTTAATAAATTTCTTTAAACTTCAATAACTGTGTTTAAATTTTAATAACTTTCTTTACACTTCAATGACTGTGTTTAAATTTTAATGAATTTCTTTAAACTTTATTGACTGTATTTAAATTTTGAAAAATTCTTTTAAACTTCATTAACTATACTTGAATTTTGATAAATGTCTTCAAACTTCATTAACTATATTTGAATTTTGAGAAATCCTTTCAAACTTCATTAACTATACTTGAATTTTGATCAGTCTTTTTAAACTTCATTAACTGTACTTGAATTTTGATAAACGTCTTCAAACTTCATTAACCATATTTGAATTTTAAGAAATTCTTTTAAACTTCATTAACTATACTTGAATTTTGATAAATGTCTTTAAATTTCATTAACTATATTTGAATTTTGAGAAATCCTTTCAAACTTCATTAACTATACTTGAATTTTGATAAATGTCTTCAAACTTCATTAACTATATTTAAATTTTAATAAATTCTTTTAAACTTCATCAACCATATTCAAATTTAGATAAATTCGTTTAAACTTCATCGACCCTGTTCAAATTTCGATAAACCCCTTTAAACAAATATCTGAAACTTCCTTCCAATTTATTTAAACCTTAAACTCGTTCAAACTTTCCTCTTCAATCAATTCCCCTATCTCTCCAAACTCCTCTTTTCTTGGAATCCTAACCTAAAATTTCCATCCGGAAGTTGCGATAAAATGTCACTGCCTCGATGTCCTTTAGATTTTTCAATTTTTATTTCCTCCGAACTTTTCTACCCAGTAAATCACCGTCGTTTTTCTTGAATTTTACACCGGCTTTTTCTTTACCTCCTTAAAGTGTTCCCGAAGTTCCTCCCGCCTTTTTTCTTGTTACAACCTCCTCTACGATATTTTTCTCCCGTTGGATTTTTCCAAATTAAATTTCTTCCGGATCTTTCCCAGATTCCACGGTCCGCTTCTTAAACTTTTACGCCCGCTTCCACGGTTTCTTTTTGCCATACAATTTCTTCTACAACTTTTTCTTCAATATGCTGCCTTTTTTCTGACAATTCTGTTAGTATCCAATTATCAACCTCGTACAGTAACTTTCCTTCTTCGAGCTCAGTCTTATTCCTTTGCGAACGTTTTTTTAAACTCCTGAGTAATTATATCCTGAGTATTGTACTACTTTTTTAGAGAACTTGGGTCATTGTTAATGGTTTGTTAACAATAATATGGTTTATTGTTGTTGAGGATGATTTTGTGTATTTAGATATTGTTGGTTTGATTTAGAGATGCACTGGAATATTTACTGGATTATCTGGAGTCTCATCTTCAGGGAATTTGAATTTTATCTTCAATAAATGGAAATATTGTTTTGAAGATACTCGAATATTATCTTGGATAAACTCCAGTATTTAACTTGAATAAAGTTGAGTATTCAACTTGAATAAACTTGAGTATTCCACTTGAATAAACTCCAGTATTTAACTTGAATGGTCTCCAGTATTTAACTTGAATAAACTTCAGTATTCAACTTGAATAAACTCCAGTATTTAACTTGAATAAACTCCAGTATTTAACTTGAATGGTCTCCAGTATTTAACTTGAATAAACTTGAGTATTCCACTTGAATAAACTCCAGTATTTAACTTGAATGGTCTCCAGTATTTAACTTGAATAAACTTCAGTATTCAACTTGAATAAACTCCAGTATTCAACTTGAATAAACTCCAGTATTTAACTTGAATGGTCTCCAGTATTTAACTTGAATAAATTCCAGTATTAAACTTGAATAAACTCCACTATTAAACTCGAATAAACCCAAATATTTATCTTGAACATATTACTCTATAACCTGAATATATTAATTCATCGTTTTACTCTCACGAATTATAATAAATATATAATTTTTCTTATTCTTGACTATTTAACGTAACGTCCACCAAGCTCTGAATTTTATTTTCATGAAACATTCATTAAATTTCCACTGTAATATTTCTTCTTCAAATTATCTTCTGCTGAAATTATCTTCTCAACTCCTTGGATTCTTCAATTATATTTATCCTGGAAAATTTAATTTAGAGATTATATTTCATTATTTATTAAAGTTATTAGTAAATTAACATTTTATTAATAGTTTATTAAAATTTGTATATTTTTGTTGTTACTGTATGTTGATAGTTAAAACTTACCACAATTTCGATTGTTCTTCTCTTCTTTTTACGTTTGTTTAAATTTTGCAGTTTCTTCTTGGAAATTTGTGTTCCAAGCTTGTTTTTGTTATCAAGTTTCTTGCTATTGAATTCCTTTGAGTCTGCTGTTCGACTGTTTCTACAAACACTAAATAAAAACAGATTTATGTGATAATTTAAGGGTTTAATTTTGTAATGAATTTGAGAACTTGAGAATTTTAAAGATTGGGGATTTCTAAATATTTAGGTTTCAAAATTTATATATTTGAAAATTTTTAAATTTTAGAAGCTGAGATTTGTAAATTTGAGATTTTGAAAATTTGAGAAATTATGAATTTGAACATTTGTTAATTTTTAGAGATGAAAATTTGTAAATTTTAGAAAGTGAAGACTTGAATATTTCTGAAATTGAGAAGTTGAAATTTGAACATTTATAAATTTGTAAATTTGCAAATTTGCACATATGAGAATTAAAAAATTTTAGGATCTGAGATTTGTAAATTTGAAATTTTGAAAATTTGAAAAATTGAAAATAGATAAAAGAACACACAAGACTATCACTATTACTACTACAGTCACCTTTACCAATGCATTCAATATCTAAATATACCAGCTCCAATTAAATTTACTCCTATTATTCTTCCCTTAGATATTCAAAATCATCCCCTATTTTTCCCTCTCACCTCTTCCCTATTCCCTCACTTAATCCACAAACCTAATTCCACAGCACACATCCTCAAAATACATAAATCCATTCCCAAAAAGATTCACCCCACTCACCACAAGCTTCCAAATCAGCTTCAGACTATCTCGATATTCTCCAGCAGGATTTCACAAGAAACCCCAAAACGTTGTCGACACAATCCACTCGAATCTTTTCAACGAAAATGAATGCAACTGATCCGGGTGCATCCACATTGCACCCGAAGGAATTTCCATCGGTCGTTCATTTATCACGCGATCCTCCTCGAACGCAATTTGCGTTGCCATTATTCGAGCGTTTATCAGCGTTTTCGAACCTCCTCTTCCTTTTTCCCTTCGCTGTCCTGTATTTCTTTCAATTTATTCGCGATCTTCCGCTTCCGGTCTCTCGCTTCGATTCGCCGGGATTTATTCGCGCCACTGATCCGAATTTATCGTCCACGAATTTTTTCACGTTCCACGCCATACCGTGACGCGTCCAAGGTGTTTTTCTATGGTATCTCGGACATCGCTGAATTTCCCGGAATTTCCGCCTCCTTTTAATGGAAACTTTCTGTTAATTAAATTCTGTGGATTGATGAGGAATTTCGTTGCTTTTCTATTTTAATTAGTTGTACGTGAATTTTGTTCTGTTGTACGACATTTTTTTTTGAACGAGTTTTTCAAGACAAATTTTACCGTTCTGATATTTTGAAAAATATTTCTTTTTAGGTTAATTTTACATTTTTTGGTTATTTCCAAAAATTTTTATTTCTTCAAGTATTTTGTCAAATATTGATTCGAGGGCCATTTTATTAATTCAGCGCGTTGGATATTTAGTCTACGTATATCTTTTGTTTTGGTGATTTTTATTTTATCTTAGATTATTTTTTCAGAAGTGGATGAAATCAATCGAAGAGTCTTTAATGCTCTGTGAATTGTTCATAAAACTTGTTTAATGAATCCTTTTTCGATGAGATACTCAGGAAAATAATTTGAATATTTATTACAAAGATAATCAAGGTTTATTAATTTTTCTTGAAGAATTCAGTTTTCTAATTTGCCTCGTTCAGTTTCAGAAAATCTTCGACAGCTCTGTAACATAAAAAATAGAACAAATTAGTATTATTTTGTCAACAGATTAAATTTGAATAGTTAGATCGTATTCCTAAATTCTCAAATTTTAAATATGAACATAAAAATCCAATTGTATCAAGTTATATGAAGTTTTGAACATTGAATACCATTTTTCTCAAAAACTATAATCTTCACGACAAAAATCAATAGCACAAAAAATATGTATTTTAACGAGATCTACAACTTTTATTTGAAGTATTTTTTCAAATTTTCATTATTTACGGAAATAAACGTCAAAAACCACCATTCATAATCTCCATGGGACTTTAATTTGAGACTCTAACCTATAATTTGCTATTTGCTATCTAATTATTGCTGCAACATTAAGGAAATTAAAGAATGTTGAAATGTTAAGATTTTCAGTAATCTTTGACTCTGCAGATTGTAATCAGAATTAACCCAAAATTGCGTTTTATTTTAAGGAAATATGACATCGCTTGCATTCATGATCACCCTGTTCACATAACGCAAGCAATGTCCACAATCAAGTATATATTATAATAAATGCCTACAAATATATTCTTTAACTCTTGTTTAACTTAGTTAGTGTGAAACAAACAGTATGGCAGTGAACCATAAAAAAACCTTGAAGCAGTGTATTAAGTCTCATCCACATCTTGCAACCCCATCCGTTCACAAATCCAAATGTCCACAGTCCCCAATGGTCACTCAAGTAATTTGACCAATAAATTCCTACAAATATATTCTTTAACTCTTGTTTTACTATGCAGCCCATCACTATATCAGTGAACGATAAACAATTTTTAAAGCAGCGTATCAAACCGTATCCAAAACTTGCAACCCCCATCACTCCATTCACAAACCTAAGCAATGTCCACAGTCCCCAATGGTCACTCAAGTAATTTGACCAATAAATTCCTACAAACATATTCTTCAACTCTTATTTTACTATGTAACTCATCACTATATCAGTGAACGATAAAAAATTCTCAAAGCAGCGTATGAAATCGCATCTAAAACTTGCAACCCCCATCACTCCATTCACAAACCCAAATCTCCACAGTCCCTAACAGGTCACTCAAGTAATTTGACCAATAAATTCCTACAAACATATTCTTCAACTCTTGCTTTACTATGCAACCCATCACTATATCAGTGAACGCTAAAAAATTCTCAAAGCAGCGTATGAAATCGCATCTAAAACTTGCAACCCCCATCACCCCTTTCAAAAACCCAAATCTCCACAGTCCCTAACAGTCCCTCAAATCCTGTCAATAAACGCCTACAAACACAGTGTTCAACTCTCATTTCTCCATGAGACTCATAATACATCAGTGAACGATAAAAAAATCCTCAAAGCCTCATATCAAGCATCGTTTCAAGATTTCCTCGAACGTCGGCATCCAAATAAGGCGTCAAAGGCCGCATAGCGAAATTGAAATTTCCCTGTGAAGACGAGCAGAATTCCCCGCGTGTTTGTTTGTCCGTGGTAGATGGTTTGAAAAAATTTGTGCGTGTAAAATGCAGGTCGAGGTTCCCCGAGCGTTCTCGCCGTAGGATAGGTCGATTAAAGCGTGTTTCGCCAGCGGGCCGATTCAGCGTCGGCAACGTGTCGCCCCGGCAGCTTTCCACGGCTGATATACATGGAATAGGAAAACATTCTCGCTGGAAAACGGCCGTGGAACGTAAATCTATGCTTTGAACAGCGTTTCTGCTCGTCTCTTTTTCCCGTGCACGGTACACAGAGTCTGAGAAGCGACATCAAAGAGGAACGCGTGCACGCCGAAAGAGGAACAGAGGGGTAGCCCGGTGGGGTGAGCATGAAAGCACAGGTGCATATCGTCGTTCGTTTGTGGGATACGCTGCTTTTTGGGCTGTGACAGGCTGCGGGTGAACAGAGAGATTGACGGGAACGGTGAAGGAAAAGGAGAAAGGTTAATGGGAAAGAGGGGCGCAGAGAAAAGGGAATAGAAGAGTTGAAAGAAGGGAGGAAAGGGCGATAAGAGACGCTGAAGATGCTCCTCGATATGCCACAAAAAATCGAATGCTACATACCATTTACAAATTTTATATACAGGAAAATATGTAAAAACTACCCCTTTAAGGTTAAAAATAAACATCGTAAGATTCAAGAGAATAAACTCACGTGTCTTTGAAGAAGATTTACTTTTTGTAGTCAGTGGAATATTAAAAAATTTGTTGTCTAAATTAGAATGAAAAGGGAGAAATTTCATAGACAGTTAATTCTTTAAGACTAACTACATAACTTGTCAATAAAACTTTTTGTTAGACTGTATTCTTTCTGTGTTTATCGTAAGAAAATGACGTCATAGTGATGTCTAGGACGACGCCATTTTTTGGCGCGAAAGTGCACGTGAAATGGAGGTTGAGGTTATGTGGTATTTCTACCTGATGTACTGAGTGCAAAATTTTATTAAAAAATATTACAAGTTTTTGTGCGATGACACACATAAAATTAATATAAGTATACAGAAGTTATGTATATGTACATGTACATTAGAAGTAGTGTATAACTAGTCAGACACGTACATAAAATTCACAGCATAAAGAACATACTCGAGGTAAATTATATTATACGAGAGAAAGAAAATTTTGAGCCACCCTAATATAAATACATCTTCACAATACATTAAGAGCCTCCTCTCGAGTTGATCATTTTAGTCTCTTTTTGTTCTTTTATCTCCATTCTGCCGGTAGAATCAGCTTTCTGGGCTGAATTCTTTTCTCCCTTCTGTCTCTCTGTTTGCATCTTTGTGTCCTAGTGTCTCCTTTCAAATCTCTGACTCTTAATCTCTCTTCATTCGACCTCCCTCTCTCTTAATCCATGCGTTCCTTTCAACTCCCCTTTTCTAGGATTCCGCGACTTAATCTCTTT